TTGGAGGGCTTGCGATGGAGGTCATTGCAAAACACTCCTCCGTTCGTGACATATATGTATACATACATACACACACACACACACACATATATATATATATATATATATATATATATATATATATATATATGCGTCGAACGCCGTCGAATATGAGGAGTGTCAGGGCTCCTGACCTCTGGTAGGGGTCGATCATGATCTGCGCCACCTGCCGGCCTTGCTCCCAGATGGAGTAATGCAGTACGTCTGAGTGACACGTCTCCACGTCCACGGTAGAACACGACGCGTCAATGGGACACACGTTCTCACATCGTCTCCACGTCCGGGGCAGAACACGACACGCCATACGGAAACGAGTCCAGACGGAATTCTAGAGATGAGTAAGTTCCCTTTTTAATCGCGTTCCACGCACGACGCACGACAGATGGGGAGTATGAATTTGTATGAATGCATAGGGAAACCGACATCTTTTGGCAGCATTGACGCCGGGAACGAAACAAAAATACGAAACCAGCGAAACCAAACTGTAACGCATTTCAATCTTGGCGCAGTTAGGCTTAGTGTTCAAGTCGAGACACGGCCACCCAGCCAACGCGGGACTGAGTCACCGTCTAGCCCGCGTCACTGGTCACGTCATGCGCCGCCGGCGGTCTGCGGTGGGGGCCTGACGACGGGGAACTTTCGACACCACTAAAGACGTAGCCGCCGCAGGACTGGATTTTCTGGATTTCTGAAACGGGATTTCTGACTAGATGTCAACAATAAACAACTTGGTGACCGTCTCGACCGCGTAATAGCCGTTTTTTGCTTCAGGTTCAGTGGTGTAACGCAAATTCTGCGTTTTGAAGTGTATGATCGCCTCATCACAACTGCGCACCGCCCAGGCAAAGCTCACGCCGCTGACTGAGCCACAGCTGAGACAGCCGATGCCATTGGCTGTCGGGGCAGGCTGATAACTGCGACGCTAATATCTTTGAAATTTTTGTTCTAGCTGTCTGGAGCCGTTTTTCGGGACCAACACAGCAGAGGCCCACAACTGCCTGTAGCATCGGACGGGCCGTGCCGGACAGCAGGCGGCTGGGTCCCGCACGGGGCCTGCCGACCGGAGGCTCCGTGCCGCGCCAGTCCGTCCTGCTCTGATAGCACTAACACTGTGCGGGTGCATTGAGGCCTCCCACTTTCCTAGTCCCGTTTTCCAATGTCGAACTGAGCAGCTATTCTGCAAATAAATATTTCTAACGAATGAAAGGTGTCATCCAACTGGGAATTTGAGTTTTGTGGTGAAAAATCGTAGTAATGCAATGACAGTACTAACAATTTGATGTTGTTTTATGTCGTTCATTAAGGGATTATCTTGACCACATAGTGCCATCTTTTTCAGAAATGCGATGCGTTTGCGGAGTCTTAATCGGTTTGCTTACCGGAGTTCCGTCATACGTCATGTGTGACGTCACCACCGACGAAAAATGGATGAGCACAGATGTCTGAAAGTTTCGGAGTCGTGATCGGTGCAGAAGATAACCTTCTGAACGGAAGTGTTCCACTTTTGGGGCATATTTTAGAAGACCTTCTCTGGTAAAACCTGAGGACCAGATATGGCTGATAATAATTTTGGATAGTCCTATAGTCCTTTGGATAATTTTGGATAGTCCCACTGCAGCACCATCAGGAGATAATGAGGGATCCATCTGAATTATTTTCGAGTCCAAATTACGCCGTCACCGATTTGTCACACCACTGCACTTCTTTTACTTTTATAGCCACAAGGTGTAGCCCTAGTCCGCGATAACTACCGACGGCATAATCGACTGAGAGTCGTCATCAGCTGTTACATACTACTACTACTAGCTACAGCTGTATCACTTTTGGGCTCTTTTAACCCGGACATTGCGGACCTGCGGGCCCAAAAGTGGCACCTCTACTGGTAGGAATGGCGCCAGTAGAAGTGAACGCTGATGAATGGCACAGCGGACCGTGAGGACAATGCGCCGAGAACGGCATTGGTTGAAGTTTGAATCAACACGTCACTATATATCATGTGATAGGTATGTTTCCTTGAGATAAAGCGCGCTCCCAAAATAGTCACTGGAGTGAATGCCATAATGAAGAGATCAGTTTCTTCGTCATTTTCCGCAAAATGGAGAAGTCAAAGCCTTCTTAAAATTTATTGCACCAGAACTTTGGCGAATAAGTGCATTGTAGGCATGAAAGAGAATGTGTCACATTCGTATGGATCTTTGAACTGAAATAGCCATCTTGAAGATCATTCGGTGCGATTCACAGGTTCGCTGGGATGCTCTTCTTAAGACGGAAAGCCTTCGAGTTTCTGAGCCAAACGTTCCCGAAGGTGCCCGGGGTATTTCGGGGACACTATTTTTAAGTCGCCCAAGAATTTTGTCACCATAATAACGTCATTCAAACACTACCACTCCATTAGCCACTCGGCGATGAAGGTCAATGAAATTAGAGTCGTCGAGTCGTTCATATCTAATATTCGTGAGGACGATTTCTACGTATAACGGCCGTCAACTAGATCTCAATCCGTATTGTGCAAGGTACGGCGACGCAATCAAACATTGTCGTATTGAGAAGACTATCAATTAAACAAAATTATTTTGTGTAAAGCAGTCTTCTCCACCTAACAGTACACCAATAGTTGAAAGTAAGTTCATTTCAATAAGCTTATTAAATGATCTTAAAGCAAGTATCATATGTGATGGTTGCTTTAATACCGTCAAACGTGGAACATTTTCTTTAACGAACATACGCGTTCGAAAAAGCCAAGCAAATAAAAATATTACTTTTGCTGTGATAAGCCTGGAGTCCAATGACATTTTTCCTGGCACCCACCGCAGACAGCTTGTCCCGCCACCTGTTTCTAGCACCCAATACTGGCAGTGCAACCCCAGTACCCGCTTCCTCACCCACCACCACTTGTTGTCAGCATCACACCCTCTCACCTGCTGCTGCACCCACCGCCGCCAGTTTGCCCTCTCACCTGCTGCTGCACCCACTGCCGCCAGTTTGCCCTCTCACCTGCTGCTGCACCCACCGCCGCCAGTTTGCCCTCTCACCTGCAGCTGCACCCATTGCCGCCAGTTTGCCCTCTCACCTGCAGCTGCACCCACTGCCGCCAGTTTGCCCTCTCACCTGCTGCTGCAGCCACTGCCATCAGCCATCCCTTTCACGTGCTGCTGCTGAAACCACTGCCATCAGCTCGCGTGCTCACCTGGTGCTGCATCCACTGCCGGCGTGTGCAGGCAGCGTCGACGCACTGGTCTTTGAAGATTTTCCTCGGAGCGGAAGCCCCGCAGTGTGCTTACCGGGCTGGGAATATCCAGGATGAAATAGATAGGACAACCCCGAGCGTTCGCATATGCTCAACGCGCATGTGTTGGCCAAGTGTTTGAGAAGCAGAGCAGTACGGTAGCCACCTGACCATCGCAAGCTTGAGAAGCAGAGCAGCACGGTGGCCACCTGACCATCGCAAGCTTGAGAAGCAGAGCAGCACGGCGGCCACCTGACCATCGCAAGCTTGAGAAGCAGAGCGGTACGGTAGCCACCTGACCATCGCAAGCGGCCTCTCCAGCTTTCCGCCTCGACAGGAGCAGCCAGCCTTTGACCGAGGGAACATACTGTCTCTCGCGTAACGGCCGCATCGACTCCCCCGCAGCGATCCGTGGCGGTCCGGCCGGCGTGGTCGGCAGTGGTCCCCAGACCAGGCCGGAGACCGGACCAGGGGATGGTCCCCGGAGCAGACCGGAAACCGGACCAGAGGGTGGTCCCCGGAGCAAACCGGGAAACGGACCAGTGAGGTGGTCCCCGGACCAGACCAGGAGGTGGTCCCGGAGCAGGCCGGGGACCGGACCAGGAGGTGGTCCGCGGACCAAGCCGGGAACCGGACCAGGGAGGTGGTCCCCGGACCAGACCGGGAGGTGGTCCCGGAGCAGGCCGGGGACCGGACCAGGAGGTGATCCGCGGACCAGGCCGACGACCGGACCAGGAGGTGCACGAATCCATCCGCTCTGGAGGACGGGGCGTGTCGTTTGGGCGTGACCTCTGCAGGAAATGTTAGGTTTATGGGGGACATTTGTGACCGCACCGTAGTCAGAAAATTGTAAATGAAGCGTCTGAGAGAGGTGAAGGAACAGGAGCACCAATATCGCTGAGTTCTTGCGGGACGGGGCAGCCCGGCTTGGGTTTTTACCATCGCCATCAGCAATCCTGGAGCGTGACCTCACAGGCCCAGTCCGTACTGGAAACGCATGAGTAATGTTTCGCGCAGTCTGCCTCATGCGTATGCTTCAAGTAAGCTGCGTTGAATGCGCTTTGTAGTCATCATATACCTCTCACAGTGGGTTTTTACTAGCTTGCGAAGGCACGGTCTCTAAATAGGTGACCATGGATGGGTTATAAAGCGCAAGTTCGGTTGCTCGCTAGACTATTGTGTCGCGTGTAGTTCTGGGTAAAACGTGTTGGCGTCGGATCGATGTGGTCGAGAGAAGAACTGCTATGTTGACCCAACCCCGCCAGCTCATGTGAGAATTCCCAAACTCCACATCTTTGGTGAAACACCACTGAGATTTGTTGCAAACTATTTGCTGGACTTCTGTTTCTAGAAGCAGGCTCCCCATGTCACGGTGCCACACTCCACACCTCCGAAGCGAGGAATGAACCGGCACCGGTGCCATCAGCCGCGTGTTGGCCGCCGTTTGGCCGATATGCCGCCGCGGCCATCCTGCCGCCGCGCGGCGAGGCCTGCCGCCGCTCGATTCGGCGCCCGCGGAGCGCCGCCTGCTATCTGTCGCCGACCTCACCACAGCACCGGACGATCGGAGACGTCCCGGCCGCCTGCGGCCAGCTTCGCCGAACGCTGCACTCTCACCATCGGAAGTGGCCGGCCCGAGTCCCCCCTCCCCTTCCGCTCGGTTGCGGCGGAGCAGCGCGTTCCCCGGCTCGGTGCCGTCCGTCTGGCGCCAGATCCCGCCGCTCCGTCGCTGAGGTCGCTTCCGCCACCAGTGGTCACCAGTTGCCGCTCACCATGCTCACCTGGCTGCTGCTGCTTGTCTGCGCGCTGGCCCGACCTCGGGTCGTCAGCGCACAGGACAGCCTGTACCCCGGCGGCTGTCGCATCGTCGGCGACGACGATCAGGGCGTCAACGTCACGTGCACGTGCGGCCAGTCGGTGCAGCAGAAGGTGAGAGGGTGCGATACCAGCATTGGGTGCTGATGGGTGCGGAAGCGGGTAGAGGGGTGCACTGCCAGCAGGGGGTGCTGACAGCAGGTGACAGGACAAGATGCCAGCAGTGGGTGCAAAGCAGACATTTTTAAAGCTCATCTCGCAGGGTTCAAAGACCGTGACGATAGTTTTCGTTACCTAAAATGCGCCTTTGTTACCACGGCACCTTCATGGCTACCACGTGGTTGTTCTCATTGCTGCACCCTCTTGTCTGATGACGGTTGCAAATTTGTGATAGTCTCTTTGTGACACCATCATAGTCACGGGCATTGATAGTGTAACAAATTTGATGAAGTGCGACATCTACAGCATTTGTACACGAGCCTTCCAAAGATCACTCTGTAGGTGCGTACTTTTGGCGAGGCTCCTTCAGCATGCGGCGCAAACGGCGAACTGTCCCGCTCGTTGAACTGGATCGACCTCAAAGCAGAGTGCACCGAGCTGTGCTGGCCGCAGTCGGCGCGGTCTCCAGGCATGCCTGTTTGCTGGACGCTTATGGACGGCTTAGTCGGGCTCGACCACTTGGCATGGGTGGCAACCAGTTTTAACAAATATCATAATTCAAAGCTAGCTACTGGCCGCCCGTCTACACGCTATCTCGCGCGTAAAGCAGAGCACGACGCGTCCCACGGCCACCCGTCTGGGTGCTGTGTCGTGCGTGGACCAGAGCACGACGCGCCCCACGGCCACCCGTCTGGGTACTGTGTCGTGCGTGGACCAGAGCACGACGCGTCCCATGGCCACTCGTCTACGCGCTGTCTCGTACGTGGACCAGAGCACGACGCGTCCCACGGCCACCCGTCTGGGTGCTGTGTCGTGCGTGGACCAGAGCACGACGCGTCCCACGGCCACTCGTCTACGCGCTGTCTCGTGCGTGGACCAGAGCACGACGCATCTCACATACAGTTTGGTGGTCCGGGTCGATAAGATCCGTCAGCGGTCAGGGCCGCCGGGCATGCCCTGCGGCACAGTCTATGCGGCTGGCGCGGCCGCCGGCCGGCCAGCCTCCAGCTTACGTCACTGGCGGCAAGGCGGGTGCCAAGCCAACTTAACAGCGATTGCCATGTCATTGGAGCTTTACGACGCACTCAGCTGCTGAGGCTATATGACGTCGCTTGCCTCTCACCCTGGCAGGAAGGGCGGGCACCGCGGGGAATCGTACTTTTAACAGCGATTCGTATCGCTCGCGTAGCAAAGTGTGAACTCATCTCCATTCGGTAGGAAATTTACGGAGCATTATGCTTTCGGAATATTACTATCGAAGTGCAGGCGTAATATTATATTTCAACAGAGCGCTGCAATATGGCGTTAGTTCTGCACTGAGGTTGATACTGCGTCCATTTGATCCAGGAAGCCGTTCACTCTATACGAAAATAAATTCAACCAACTTTTATTGGCACGTTTTAAGGAATTTAGAGGTAGCGAATTTGTAAAAGATATTTTGCTAAACCAGCCTATGCGCTGTCTCATGTGTGGACCAGAGCGCGACGCGTCTCACATACAGTCCGGTGGTTCGGGCTGACTGAGATCCGACGGCGGTCAGGGCCGCCTAGCCAGGCGACGCAGTCTCGTTTATGTCACGGACGCGACGCGATCCATGTCCACCCAGTCACCAACTTCTGTCCGATCCCAAACGGGATATCCCGGCCATCTCAACTTTACGGTTGTGGAGTGCTTTGGATCAACTACGAAAATAAGACACTGTGGCTTGGATTCCCAACTTATTTTGGACTGTTTCCCAATGTGTTTACAAGCGAGATGCTCGAAGCCTTTCCAGCGCTGCCTTTGACGATTGCTGACTGAAAAGGGACTTCCCCAAGCAAATCCCAACGCTGAGGATCGGAGGAAATCGGGGATATGTTAAGTTTTCTCAAGCGATGACCGGTGACAGGAGCTCGATCGGGTAATACTTAGAAAACCGCAAGTATTTCTCAAATCGGTTGGGAAATATTGGACATGTCAGGCTTTCCTTAACCTACACTGGCTTTTCCTCGAGTGAATTGCTGGTTCGGCAAGTCACCATGCGTTAGTTTGGCACAGGACATTTGAACCGTGTGGTCGATAGGGGCTTTCACGAATGACATGCGGTATATGAGTCTCTTACTGTGAGATAAATTCATGCAAAGCCTGCGGGTGGCCTTCTTCGACACAGCAGACAGGCAAACAAACGGGCAGTGCCTTGCTTCGCCGTTGCACTTCTAGCAGAGAAAAGAGTTAAATCATCCAAAAGCCCAAATCCAGTATCCAATATCCAGCCAATATCTAATATCCGCTCCGAATTCCACACCACCCCAAACTTTGGACGCCGCGGCCTTGTGACTAGACGCCGGGCTGCAAGAGCAGCGGCGGCGAGTCCGCTTGGTGTGGTGGGTACCGGCGGGATTTTCCCGATCACCCACAAAAGCAGTGAAACAGTAACACCACTGGCAGCCCTCCCAGCCATTTGTATGCCCGCAGGGGATGTTACCATAAGTCACGCAGGTGCCGTAGAGGGCGTGCTTGACTTGCATCTAGGAAGATGCAAGCTCGAGACTTTCTCCAAATGTGTGACTAGATCTTAGCCGTAACAGCGAAGATAACAGCAGGATAAAGCGTGCTTGGATGCCGTGCCAGCAATGTGACGGCTGCGGTCATAAGTGTCGCAATGTCTTACGTTAATGAAAGTGAGTGACGCCAAAACCTAGCTTGTGATAAATCTACAGCCCATAACCTGGTGACTCCACATGTGACAGATCGGGACATCCAGAGTGCTGCCAGTTCAATGCTACGCAAAGCAAAGTATGACACCCAAGCTTCAATATTCACTGTACGTCGTCTTCCGCAGGTGGATTCGAGCCTCATTAACCACCTGACGATCCTCGGTTGCACCGACAACGATCAGCTCACCTCTGACGTGATCACCGTCTCCTTCGCATTGCTGGAAAGGATGCCGGCCGACAGCGACTTCGTGCTGGTGCGCGTGCGCTCCGTCAACATATCGGGAGTGCAGCTGGAGCTGTCGCCGGCGCCGGTCAGTAGGCTGCCGACCGGCCACCCGCTGGAGCGGCTGCACGTGGAGTACTCGAGGATGCCCAGGGGCCTGCGAAGCAGCGCGCTGAGGACCCTGCCGCGCCTCAGCCACGTGTCCCTGCTCGGCGTGTCGGCGACGACGTTCTACTCGGCCGCGCTGTATGACCTGCCGAGCCTGCGCTGGCTGACCATCGCCGACTGCGAGATCGGCTTCATCCGGGTTAATGCCGTGTCGCGCACGCCTCAGCTGCGCCACCTACGGATCGTCAGATCGCAGATGCACACCGTGCAGGGCGGCGCCATCGTGGTGGACGCCGACGAGGAGGGCATGGACAGCAGCTGCGATGCGCTGCCGCTCGACAGTCACGCCGTCGCCTCGTTTGTCTTTGCCAACAACTCCGTCACGACAATCGCGCTGAACGCCATTCGCGTCGGTCCGGTACAGCGCTTCGTGGCATCCGGCAACAACCTCCGAGAGCTCTACCCGGGCGCCTTCAACATCACCCTGCGCGCCGCCTGCGCCAACCAGCTGCAGTTCACCGATAACCAGCTGGAGGATGTACGCAGCGAGGCGCTCTTCGTCAACAACGAGGCCGACGAGCCCGCCTTGATCACGTTGGGCGGCAACGTGGGGACCATCGCGCCCCTGTCGCCAAGCTTCCTGGGGCTGCGCGGTCCGTTCGAGCCCAGTGCAGACGGTGGCGAGGTGCCCGACGTGTACGAATGCAGCTGTTGCGACTGCCAGGCCACCCAGGAACTGGTGGCATTGGCGCTCGACGACGCGTCGGACCCGCTGTTGCGCAGCCTGTTCAGCGACGCTCTGCGCTCTGCCGAGTGCCTGGGCGATAAGGGGTCGTTCCTGGCGTTCGCCGACGGCTGCGCCCCGGAGAGAGGGCTCGGAAGGAAGCTCGGACTGTCAGGGGCGGCGAGCAGCCCGCGCCGCCCTCCGTCTCGGACGCCGGGCTTGTGCGGGCCTCGGCGTCGCTCTTGGCGCTCGTGGTGGCCGTCCTGCGTGGCTGAGGTGTCACAGCTTGCCGCTAGGTGGCCGGAGGCAGGACGACCTCCGTGTGCGGGCTGAGTACAGTGTCAAGCGCCTGGGCACGGCCGTAGAGCATGCTGTCTAGAGGACATCACGGGTTGGGTAAACCCATGAGTTGCCACATGGAATGGGCAACAGACTGGTTGGGTAGACATTTCTGAAAAATTACGGACATTGGCACGGGGGTGAGCAAACAATTTATGAACTCTCGTTTAAATGCTTCAAGAAATACTGCACAGTGTTGCTGATTGCATTCATGTTTGTCATAATGCAGTTTATTCACTTTTCTCCTACAACAATCGAAGCAAAAGGAATGATAGCTTGGGTGCAAACATTCCTTAAACCCTTCCAAAGTTATAACTAAAATGACAAGCTGAAAACGGACGGGTAACGGGCAAGTACAACTGATAGGGAATGGGTTGTGGGCAGGTATGACCAGAGCCCCGTGGGTGGTGGACGGGTTAGGTAAAGGAAACAGCACCCGTGAAGGCCTCTAGCGTTGTCATGACGACCGCATGGCGTCAAGACACCACGTGGCACCGTACTGAAAGTGAATGACTTCTTGAAGCTGAGCAGTTTTGCAAATGCAAGTGCACTGTGGTCGGCGATAGAGCCGTGGTCTTCTGCGTACGCATCCATTTATGGTACCTATCACTCAAAGTCCGCTGGGGCTACGCTGTTTGCCTTCTGCCAAACTGCGCAATCTGGCGGCTGCTTCGAAAGCTTTCATGCGCCATACAGGAAGACGGTGTGCGAATCTTCAGGCACCAGACCGCGGAATTGCTTCGTAGCTCACGCCTGGTGTTCTGGCACATATCTCGGCGATCCGGGGTGTAGTGTATATCCCTGAGTTCAAGTGTGTGTATTGATTAAAAGACCATGGGTCTGTAAATAAAGTTATCTGTGTCTTTCAGTGTGATGTGGCTTTCCTGCTAGGTGTTTCGCCTCCAGAGGCACGACGGCACTGACTTGCTGTCAGGCAATCAGTAACTGATCGAGCTTCTACAGAATAGCAGACCCAGAGATGTAAAACTTTTATTTCTTTTCATTATTTTGCAGTACAATGAATCGCACTTGCCTGTCAACGCTGCGGTAAAAAACGTCATATATCTCAGATTTGATTTACCCTGTCTCTGTATCGAAAAAAAAGAAATAAATCTGTAAATCAAATATAAATCTATGTAGGAAAACGAGGGGCCATTGAACCCCAAGCGTACCTCGGCAACCAATTGGCCGATTTCACCCCGGAAAACGACATTGAATTGTTCGCGGCATGAGCTACATTTCTTTTAGCACAAATTTCGAAAACTGTCGTAGACGAATATACAAAGCAAATAAGTGCAGAAAACACATGCTGCATTCTACTGGATGCAGCAAATTATTTGAACGATATTTTGCATTTTGGTAGCATCGGAAGATGCTGATATGAGATTTTATAGCATATGCCACATATTTCGTCCAAGCGAGTGCAATAGCGATCCCACACATTGAAGAAAGGGGTACCAAATACTACGGAACGTTTACACTTTTAAAATCTAATTTTGCTCTGTATTCGCATTTTATGAGCCTGGACACGTAATGATTGTAGCTTTTGGACGTACGCAGTGGCGTGGGGCTGTGGACATGAAGGCGTGGGACATGTTCTCCTTGAACGCTGTACCCGTCCTTTCTGAAGGGAATTACGCGGCAATAGGGTGTTACAGGCGCGCTTACGCGCTATAGACCAGTGCAGTCCCACCCTTCCCTTTGAATGATGTCCAAAGATGCCCCTGCCTTTGCAGAATTTGCCATGGGCGGTTCCAGATAAGATGAGGACAGGGTTGCCCGGTGAGTTTCGCAACTACCGATATTGGATAAACATTTACCGTGCGATTCGCCGATTGCGCTCATGTATATGCGCTTAGCATGCCATCATATAAAATGCTCAAAAGCGTATGTAGAAAATCAGTTTGGGTGGGGACAAACTTCCACCGCCGTTTCCACTCCGTCGCTCCAACGATCGTGGGCAGATCGCCGACCAAGCGACCGCGCTGGCACGTTTTGCGTTTGCTAGCACTCCCGCTACTATGCCGCTGCAGGATGAAACAGTGAGGCCCAGCTTTGTTTGAATCTACCACGCAAGACACCTGAATCCGCTGGTATAGGGAGAGCCAGCTATCCTGGATCCGCCCTTGGTCGATGCGAGACACGTTGTTTTTCAAAACGCATGCATGAAATGATTACGTGAACTTGAATTATCAGGTATTTCCATCTAGAAGTACCCTTCCCCAGTTTTGTGTCACCCTAAAGCCAGTCTTGTAATTCCCAGATATATCTCGCTTTCCTACACATTGAGTCAGTGTATGAGCCTTAGCAGCTATTGCGACCAAAATAGGGTTCCACAGCCGTGCAAATATGCTTAGGCTCAATTGTTTCCAGACCGTTTTGAACTAACCCAAAGCACCGCCAAAGTCCTGCCATGCATCCGCCTCTGCTCAAAGCACGGAATCCACCTTCGCTAAAAATGGCTCAGCAATCAAACGTCCACAAAATGGGCAAATGTACTGAATATTATTTCGTGTTTTCTTACGTAAAGCATCGTAACCTACCCATCCCCCACCCTCCTCACTATGGAAGAGCCGCCACGGTGTTCATTTTTATATTGTGTCACAAAAAGCATGCATTTAAACCTTACCACTCAATACGTGTAAAACTTCCCATGGCGGGAGTTCAGGTAACTAATTTGTTGCTTTTTCACGTTTGTGTGAAATTGTAAAAACATTACGGAACGTGTCTTCCAAAACTCGTTCCAAGATCTGCCTCTGGTCAAAATTGAGTCTTGAAAGTTTGTTTTAGGTTTAAAAAAGTTAGTAAAGGCACAACATTTCAGGGTGATCCTTCTAATTGTGAGCATTGTTAGCAATAGAACCGGATGGCTGCCAATCAAGCCCCTCCCACACCGCCTATATGAAAATAACATTAACCCGCTGCCGGCCGGGAAAGGAGGCGGGGGGGGGGGCGATTTTTGTTTCTTCCCTACCACTTAATTACCGTGTTTCTATCACTTCAACATCATTTGTGCGATTTGAAGCTTTGACCTATCAAGGTCAGTGACGTAGGCCAGGTCAAGGAGGTCAATTCTACAAAATTTTGACCATGCATAGCTTTGTTTTGCTTTATTTGCCATCGCTTGCACTTCCTACAGTAACAAACCATGAAGGTATCCACAGTTCATCTTAAAATTTTTTTTAAACCGCCGAGGTCAGTGACTTAGGGTGAGACCAATTTTTGTTACTTGTAGTGAATAATGCAAATTTGTACGCATCTTTGAGCACTTTTGGTGTTTGCGTATGAGAAAAAGGATATTAACTCATATGTATGCATATCATATGACCACAGAGCACATGCCATTGGCTTAGGTCATGACCTTCCTCTATGGATGTCTTCTGCAAAGCACATGCTAAGCTCAAAATGCGCGGGTATTGTCAGCCAACTGTGGCGCAGAATTAGGACCTCCCACTGGAGGCATGCTGTGATGTTATCTTAATGCATAATAAAAAATAATAGGTCACGTAGAGACATACAAGGTCATATGAGGTCATTACAAATCAATGGCCTCTGCTGTCAGTAGCGGAGTGGCTAGATGAACGATTGCGACGGGTGCAACCATCTCTGTGCCTTGTTTGTGAAGCTGATGACGTATAATTTCATTTATCAGCTTACCTGTTCTCAGTTTGTTAGAAATACATTGTCAAGCGTCGAACTATGCTAATATATCCAAAAAAATAGAACTAATGCCTTTATATATATATATATATATATATATATATATATATATATATATATATACATATATACATATATATCCCATTATCTTACACATCACACAACATTATATATTCATAGATTATGATATCAAACATATAAGAAATGTATACAATAGTTGTGCCACATTGAGTACCTTAAGATAAGCAATACACTATTTCTGACCATAGACAAACATTTTACTAGTGACTTTGACCCAATTAGCGCTGCAATTTTTCATTTGGATGGCTTAAGATTTTGACCTACGTTGACCACAGCTGACCTCTAGGCTGGTACTATTCTTCGTGATTTGAAAGACCTTCACAGCGGTATTTTTTATTTTTCTCTCACGACGTCTGTAGGTTTGAGACCCTGGGGGAGTCAGCTTCCCTCGGCTGGGTGCTGTTGTCTCAGACCCCCGCCGGGCGCAGGTCAAACAATGCCTTTGCCACATTGTCCGATTTATAGCACTTGCTCTTAATCCAGAACTTGGAATGACCCGAGGTTTGCGAAAGAGTTTTGTCAACATACATGAACTATCTAAAACGGCCACTCGCTTCTTGAAGAGCCCGCAGCCTCTGTCTGGTAGCCAGGGCTCACGCAACAAGCACCGCTGAGCATAAGCCCAGATCTCAGAATCCATCCACCCAAAAGGTTCAGATGTATTCTTGAAAATAAAATGCCCTAATTACCAGTACTGCTGCAGTCATCACTGGTGCACTGTTACGCCAACGTAGCGGCCGGCTGCTTCTCCGGCCGTCGTCTGGAGCTAGTCGGCTCCTATGAAAGCCGACTAGACCTCAGGATTATGATTTAATATCAGGATCTTATTAGGGCCTGAGGATGTCTGGCGTGGAGAAATGTATGGATCTCTAGAAGGTGTCGTTACATTAGAGTCTCGTTAGTATTCGGGAGATACGAGCTTTAAACCCTTGATTCAATGATTCATCGACCGGCACTCACCATTGCGCTCCTCTTTCCCGATGGTATGAAAGCTCATCTCTCATCCTGTTCTGATGCTCCGAGAGGATAATCCTTCTTTTATTCGTCGGTACTCAAGGGATCTTTTTAATGGCTCGCTATCCTGCTTGGATACGAGCCTAGTCCTCATTCCAAAGCCTCCAAGGCCCGTGCAGGCTGTCCAACCGGCTCGACGTGTTTGAGCTCTGGATGCCATACTGGACTGAACGGCCCCCGCCGCTGGTGGCGTACTCCGGCGCGGCGGGGCGTCCCCGACGTCAGGCCAGTCTGGATCGGGTGCCGGCCGCCGTCGGTCGCACCATGGCGACGCTGCGCGGCCTGCATGAGCTGGTGCAGGGCCTGGTGCACCGGCGGGACCCACGCGTGCGTCAGTACGCCATGCAGTCGTCGCCAGGCCCGGTGTTGGGCGCCATCCTCGGCTATATGCTGCTGGTGGCGTACGGGCCCCGCTTCATGAAGAATCGGTCGACGCCGCCGCTGCGGCTTGTTATGTTTCTGTACAACGTTGGCCAGGTGAGATGAGGAAGGAGGTGCGTCTCGTGTGCTGCTGTAAGTATGCGTCACTTAACATCTGAGTGGCGTCACGTGACCAAAACTGACCAAACCCACAATAGCGAACGCCACCGTCGCAGGGTATGCAGGATTCTGCAGTTGAGGGGGGGGGGGCAACACTCAAAGTTTCGCTGAAAACGTGGTTAAGTGGATCACAAACGCGCGAAATTCATCACAGTCGTAGCACAACAGGGCATATTCGCTCACTGATCAGTTTACATGTCTACATAGAAATTGTAAGCATTCACCTAGGCACATTACACTGCATCTAAAAAATTATGAAGGGGTACGTTCCCGATGTGTTGAGTTTGATGGTGGAGGATGGTAGCACTGGTAGTCACTAAAAAATGATAACATTGATTCACATCAGGCATTACAGGAACATAGCCCAGTGAACCTGTGATATTGGAATGTGGTGTAGCAATCTCTGAAGCGTCCCATGGTTGACCACGCCCAATCCCAGGTAAAGCCAGGGATCAATATATAGTTCATACCATTACATAGCACATAGCACAAATACATAGCACACATGCACATAGCACAGCGCAAATACACAGCAGATAGCACAAATGCCCTAACGTTTCTTAATATGTCGCGATGCAGACTGCAATGCAAGACCTCTTAGGGCAGGGGATTTTTGGCCGTTCTTTCGTCCACAGCGGTGCCAGCGAAATTGGCCTCGTCCAAAGCTGGACCCGCAATCTCGCTGTTTTACAATGGTTTTGAATGATGGTGTCCAGAAGGATTTGCGAACGGCATACGCTATTTCTGGGATTCTACATTAATGAATGTGGACACCAATCAAATAAATGTTCTGCAATGCACTTCGGTGAATGGATGAATTATTAAAAAAGTAAAGCAGAAGACCCTAGCCATTTGTTTCCTTGTTTCAAAAACTTGTCCCATACTGTCCAAACGCTTGCCCCATACTTTTAATATGCTTGCCCAAGGCGTTTTCATGCATAATACTATAGAGCGGGGATATCAGAAATTGTCAATGCTTTATATCCGCGATGGGGTGGTGACGCACAACCCAAAAATTGTTACTGAAAAGTAAGTTACTGTTCCACATTTTAAGATGTTTAAGAAAGCAGCAGATACCATAAAAAGGTAACTTGTAACTACCGGTGCGCGTTTAAGACCCCCCCCCCCCCACCCAAACGGCACCAAACAACACAACTTCACCATCTGAATAAATATGCATCCTTTTAGGCCATCACTTCATGTCTTGGAACGTGCCAGAATTGTTACTGTAGTGAACGGGCTGACTCATTTGAGGTAAAGTTTTTCGAAACTGGTATCTTGATTTTTTGCACCAGGCTGTTTTTTCCTACTCCAGCTTTAGCAAAAAAAAGTTGTCTGATCGCTTTGCAGCTCAGCGATATTCTTCGTCACAAAGTGCGGAAAATTTGAGCCAGCCACCGAGGCTGCAACCCGGTCTGTGGAATCCCAATCCAATACGCTATCACACCGCTGTCCCAATAAATTCACCGCAGGTGAAACGGCTTTTGATGCTGTAATGCAGGTGATTGGTCAGCATGTTAGGGTTTGCGCGACCTGGGCATATTTATGCTTGTGTAAAGCTCTTTTCTCACGGCACGCCAGAGATCGGGGTGTTATTGCTGATGGATGGACCCAAATGCATCGCACTAGCTGATGAAGGAATCGCTGGCCCGTAAAATGGTTAGAGAACTGTTCCCCTCTTAAGCTGGAACAGGTAAAAACAGCCTTACACACACATGGCTTGTGGCATTTCTACGCTCTGCAAGGTGGCGTTGGTGGTCTATGCGTGTAAATTTTTGCAGCTAACGTCACGTGCGTGTGTTTTGACCTTTTCTCGTCGTGTAAATGTCTGTGTCATACTCACAAAACGGGGCCTGTAATCCAAACATGCAATCGGTAGCTCAGGCTGGCTGTTATCCACTTTCCTCCCATCGTTGTGAGACTTGGCGCTGAATCACTTCAAACACGAACATTGCGGTGGCCATGTTTTTTCTTGACCATGAGCACAATGCAACCACTGAAGTGGGAGTATTCGCGTGATGTTGACGCGTGACGTGTATTCGTGCCACGAGTCTTTGATAACAGAGCACGCTACAAATACCCGTCGCGTGATGTTGACCCACCACATTGATTCATGTTGCGAGTCTTTGATAACAGCAGCATGCTACAAAAACTCGCTCACAAAGACGTTGCATTATTGATTAACACCGCCTTAGGCTCATGCATTATCAGTTTGTACTTGCGCAGGCTTGCCTTTTAGGCCCATCGGTCCTTCAGCAGTTGATAGAATGCATGCTCACCAATGTTTAAAACTGGTGTGCCTGTTTCAACAGCCGCGCTGAGGGCTACGTATTGTAGCTAACTCAAGTTCGTTTGGACACACTAGCCTCTACACGTGCCCATAAACGAACTCGGTCGTTCTCCGTAAACAAGGTGCCAGGTTATAAAATCATCTCGATTTCCTGCACCATGGTGTCCTATGCATTCGAATTTCACACCATCTACAGACGTGTTTTACTTCCGTGATTTATGAGATGGGCTCCTGATTGAAAGACAAATCAGGTGTGATTGGGCGTCCACATATTCCTGTGTCAAGCGTTCCAGCTCCGCTCATCACCTAATGCACCAAGTCCGTGCTGGGGCAGACTGGTAGACAATCATCTTCACCTTCGGGTATGTCTCAGGGCTGTGTCGTAACCCTCCATGCTGCTCGAGACAATTGAGTGTTTGTTTTATGTGGCGGCGCACAGCTGAGTTTTAATGTGAGCTGTTAAAGTGTATAGGTTTTCTGTGCCACCAGGTGTAGCTGAGTGCCTGCACGCTACGGGAGTTCTGGATCTGTGAGTGACTGCTCTATGTTTCCAGGTGTGGCTGAGTGCCTACATGCGGCGGCGTTCTGAGTATCTGAGTGACTGCTCTATGTTTTCAGGTGTGGCTGAGTGCCTGCATCCTGCGGAAGTTCTGACTATCTGAGTGACTGCTTTGTGTTTCCAAGTGTGGCTGAGAGTCTACACGCTACGGGAGTTCTGGGTCTGTGAGTGACTGCTCTGTGTTTCCAGGTGTGGCTGAGCGCCTACACGCTACGGGAGTTCTGAGTATCTAAGTGTCTGCTCTGTGTTTCCAGGTGTGACTGATTGCCTACATCCTGCGGAAGTTCTGAGTATCTGAGTGTCTACTCTGTGTTTGCAGGTGTGGCTGAGTGTCTACATGCTGCGGAAGTTCTGAGTATCTGAGTGTCTGCTCTGCGTTTCCAGGTGTGACTGAGTGCCTACATGCTGCGGGAGTTCTGAGTATCTGAGTGACTGCTTTGTGTTTCCAGGTGTGACTGAGTGCCTACATGCTGCGGAAGTTCTGAGCATCTGAGTGTCTGTTCTGTGTTTACAGGTGTGGCTGAGTGCCTACATGCTACGGGAGTTCTGGGCGAGCCGGCCGGCTTACTGGACCTGCTCACCGGTTGACGTCTCTGAAGACCCCGTGTCACTTCGCCTGGTAAATGCCTGCTGGCTGTTCCACGTCAGCAAGATCATCGACTTCCTGGACACGGTGTTCCTGGTGCTGAAGAAGGACCACAAGAGAATGACGTACCTGCATGTTTATCACCATGGCTCTATGGCCTCAGGGTGGTGGATCAGCACTTTGTACATTCCAGGTAAAAGTCGAACACAAACTTTGTCAAGATAAATTTTTGTTATTTTGTTAAGGAGTACAAAACAACAAAAGGTGAAGCTATCGGTGAGCCCAGTGTATGGGGGTACGGTGTCCACGCAGATCTTCCTGGTTGATGGTTTGCCTGTCGTGTTGTGGTTGTGAGTGGGAACAGTCTACGTGTCGCATGCACACATTGGAACCACACGCCCTATCGCGACGGTGGCTGCTGGCAGCGAGCAGTTTTCCCCATTACCGGCGGCTGTTACGAACAGCACTGAAGAGGTCTTCGTGATGGGGAAATCTGTATGCAGTAACCCCCCCCCCCCCCGCAGCTATCAGAACCACCACCACTACGCAGTCGACGGGCTATTGACCCCGATCATTTTAGAAGCTCAGACTCATCATGTATGGGACGCTCTTTTGAATCACAGCGAGGGATCTCACTCCTGACTCGACACAGAATGTTCTTTTGGCGCAGATGTGGTCATCATTAGCCTGGAAAGTCACGCGCATGAAACAGAACGGATGATTTCGGGATCCGGTATTCTGTCATCAATGATATATGTGCCATCAGGGATCCTTCGTTGGGATCCAGGCACACGCCTGCGGCGAGCTGGGTCGCAATCGATATCTTGCCCGTCATTCCTCCGGTGAATGCAGTTCCAATCTGCCTAGGGGGCACCGCCAACACGCTCAGCTGTTGAACGTGCGGATCCCTTCGGCGGAAATACTGAGGTCAAGTTAAGATCGCATTGCGTGTTGCGCGCGCCGATAATCGGGTGTATGTGTACGCCGTCCCTTGTGTGCACTTAGTTCACATGGAAAGCTAAATATTTTCAGGCCCTGAGGTGTTGAATGCACCTCGCTTCAGGGTACTGATAGTGTAATGGTTAATGCAGTCTGGGAAACTAGAGGTACGGGGTTCGATTCTCCGCGGCGCCCCCACTTCGTGCCGGGATGAGAGGCAGGCGACGCCATATAGCCTCAGCAGCTGAGTGCGTCGTATAGCCCCGATGCCCCCCCCCCCGCACCCCGCTTCATGTCATAGCCCCATTACGCCTCACGCAGCCCACCTCGCTCACATATCCCTTTCTCTCCAACCAGGTGGCTCCTGCTGGATTCCAGGCGCCCTGAACAGCTTCGTGCACTGCGTTGTGTACAGCTACTACCTGCTGGCCGGTCTGGGCCCCCGAGTGCGGCCCTACCTCTGGTGGAAGCGCTATCTCACCCAGTTGCAGCTGGCCCAGTTTGGATTCATCCTGTTCATGGCTGCTCTCATCAAAGTAAGCGAATTTCATGATCTGTTGTGCTTCTTACTGCTCTCGCCTTCCGTACGACTAGATTTTTTTCCCTAGGCTAGCTCCTTGAACGTTTATACTAACATAACCACATTTATGAATCGCTATTACCGTTCTCAGAATGCATTGGGAACTCAGAATGCACAGCATATTTCCAGAATCCATGACACATTACTTGCACCGCTCAGGAGCAACGGCCTTCCATAGTACCACCTAACCTGGGTATAAATGGTGACATAGAGCTACAGATAGCGCAAACAAGCCATTGCTGTTTTTTTTTTTTTGGTCAAATAACGTTGGATGCAAAAGCTCCTCACAAGTTCTACACAGATTCCAAAAGTAATTTGTCGATCAACGTCCTTCAAGCGTGATCTGTACGTGTTCGTGCATGCCGACTGGGGCGACAGGGTGCCCAGTGCGGCACAGGACAGCATCAGACACAGCATTCCCTCCGTCCACAGAGCCCAGGACTGCGATGCGGCATGCCCGAGTACAGCTCCTCGATGACTATGAGCCACGTCTTCGTGCTCTCGGTGCTTTCCGTCGGCTTCAGCATGCAGTCGGACGCTCGACTTCCGCAGCCGAGTCGGGACGCTGCTGCCACCAGTCTGCACAACGGCAAGATCCACGGCTCCGGGAATGGCAAGCCCAATGACAAAACGAACGGCTCTGCCAATGGTTACGTCAGCAGGCACGGTGGTGGTAATGGCAACAGTATGGACATCTACAGGCTTTTTGGTAGACGCCTGCTCAAAAATGGCTTCGGCTGTTGTCCTGACCAGGACTGAGGTCTGAGGGCCAGTGGTTCGACATTATATCGGACAGCCACGGCCACCGCAAGAACTGAGAACCATGAGTTCGACATTACATGGGACAGCCACGGCCACTGCAAGGACTGAGAACCATGGGTTCGACATTACAACGGACAGCCATGGCGACCGCAAGGACTGAGAACCAGGAGTTCGACATTACATGCCACAGCCACGGCCACTGCAAGAACTGAGAACCATGAGTTCGACATAACAACGGACAGCCACGGCCACTGCAAGGACTGAGAACCAGGAGTTCGACATTACATGGGACAGCCACGGCCACCGCAAGGACTGCCAATGACGGCTCTGCCAATGGTTACGCCAGCAGGCACGGTGGTGGTAATGGCAACAGTATGGACATCTACAGGCTTTTTGGTAGACGCCTGCTCAAAAATGGCTTCGGCTGTTGTCCTGACCAGGACTGAGGTCTGAGGGCCAGTGGTTCGACATTATATCGGACAGCCACGGCCACCGCAAGAACTGAGAACCATGAGTTCGACATTACAATGGACAGCCACGGCCACTGCAAGGACTGAGAACCAGGAGTTCGACATTACATGCCACAGCCACGGCCACTGCAAGAACTGAGAACCATGAGTTCGACATAACAACGGACAGCCACGGCCACTGCAAGGACTGATAACCAGGAGTTCGACATTACATGGGACAGCCACGGCCACCGCAAGGACTGAGAACCAGGAGCTCGACATTATATCGGACAGCCATGGCGACCGCAAGAACTGAGACCCAGGGGTTCGACATTATGTCGGACAGCCATGGCCACGGTGCCTGTACGAATACATAGCTGCAGTGGATTATGCGAAAGTGGCCGGGGTGCACTGGTATCTAACTGTGATGTAAAATTAGCGTGCTATCCTGTGAGACTGTCCGATTACCTGCTCAAAATCTCGTTGTTGTCATAGTGGAATTGTTGACGAGCTACTGGACTGCATGATATTTTAGACAGTGAGCCTGTGTGAAGGATCACGTTCGCTGTTCTGACTTAAGTTGTACATGTAATTGCAATATGTGGTCGTCACTCGTGCAGCTTTATGCAAATGTAGCTTAATGTAGAAGATGACAAGAGAAACCTTAGGCACATAATGGGATGAACTAGTCCAAAAAAAGGTTGAATATTTCAGCGATGGGCGTTAATCATGACAGGCACGGAAGCCAAACATTCGATTCAAGCCACACACGTAGTGCAGTGGAACATTTGAAGAAAGCATCACACACTTCTCTCAGCCGGCGTTATATCGAACAGTCTATTGGAAAAAAATTGTGTTACCAGACCCACCCATATGACGCCGGCGGAGATGTCCCATAGGACGCCGGCGGGGTCATATGAGACAGGATTCAAAATGTTCGGGTAAGAAGTCATGGTTTATGTGCGTGTGCGAGGTTTTAGTGTGCGGTTTGATTTAACATGCGTGTAATGTAGAAGAACCCACGATTGAAATTAAATGTGCTTTCTGGACTAATTCATTTTATCATGAACGTAAGGCTGTTCTTATTTTCCTGGACATGTAATGTACCGTTGCTCATCCAATCAGTGTTTTTAAATATTCCTCAACGTTGCCTCAGAGAGTGCTGCGGCTTATGTAATAACAGTGGTCGCAGTATTCTCATGGCAGAGTGCTGCTCCTAATGTTTAGAGCAAATATACTTGCATCGTGTTGTATCGCACTTTGTTAGGCCGTTCCATTTTAATTACGCTTTTCATATATATATATATATATATATATATATATATATATATATATATATATATATATATATATATATATATATATCTCTCTCTCTCTCTCTCTCTCTCTCTCTCTCTCTATATATATATATATATATATATATATATATATATATATATATATATTCGTCTCAGTGTTCTTTTCGTCGTAAACAACCACGAGATGTACACAAAAATGCGCGCAATTCGTCCTTTTTAACGAACAAATAGTTAACATCGACCTTACCCCAGATCACTGACCTCGTCTATTTCGGAAAATATGAAATAAATAAACTGTAGGTTCTACCGTGATCTATTACCATAATGAGCTTGCGCAAATGCAGATAACACACAAACATTTATGCGAGGTCAAATGTTTTCAGAAGCTGACCTTGAACTGACTTATGTCCCTGACCTTGGGAGATCAAACCTTCCATTCGCACGAAGGATGCCAAATTGATGAGTTGAGAGGTCCTGAAAATTTCGTGTTACTCCCAGCGTTCGCTACTGAGCCGTGCTCGAAAAACTGTAGAGAGAGTCAACTTCCCTCGAGCAGGTGCTGGTCAATGTCACCCAGGGCCGGCCCTTCGGGCCCTTCAATCGGGCATGTCATCATTGGTCCCGAGGAGCCCTTCGGGCCTCTCTGCCGCCCCCCTCGAATGATGCCCGGTCTAGCCCTGGTTTCCTTGCCAATGCATGCCACTTAATAGGCACCGTGGGCCTCTGACCGAAACAGAGGCCCCTCGTTCATTGAGGGGCCCAACCAACATAGCTCGCGACCCCCAGCGTTGTTCCTGATTGGGGAATGAGCCCCCAGTCCCAGACCTGACGCTGAAGTAATCGGATGGCGAATCTTTTGCTTGTCGCCGTCGCTAAGCCTCCACCACGTCGCAAAATCGGCTCGATGGCAACGCGGGGATGGCCTAGCCCTTATGCACAACAAACAGGTTTCTCCGCGGAATGACCCGTTTTCCTGCCAGCGTTATGAAGTTGGAATTCCTCCAACTGAACAGGGAACCACAGCCCTGATGTGATACGCTTCCTTGCTCTGTCTTGACCGGAAGCGCTCTCGTTGGGCCTCATAATCAGTTTATTTGACCTCAGACATCGAAACCTGGTTTCGGTGATCGACGCAGAGTCGATGTAATGTGACTTCTGACGTTGTTTTGTACTCGGGAATAAAGGATGTAATTTGATGTGCGCCACTAGTAAAGGCTGACACGGAAGCCCCTGACCGCTAGGCGCGAGGCGGGGTGCAGTGTGCAGCTCGGCACTCAGTTCTGCACAACGCGCTTTGGCATGCTCGACAGTGCTTGTGAGATATTTGCCATCGTCGGACGATTACGTTATCAGTTTAGTCGGTTGATGTGGATCATCAGGTTTTCATAACTGTTCCATCGAGTGTTGTCGTGGAAAAAGAGGCCAGCACATATCAGGGGTTCGACCAAACGCAGACGGTTAATACATTGGTCACGTTTTTAGTTAGTGGCATTCACCTGGTTTGTCTTCATTTTCCGATAAGACCCGATAAGACATGATAAAAGAACGCAGCTTCCTGCAGTCAGTTAACTTGTTGTAAACTATACCCGAGTCAAGAAGACATATAAGTTGTGTAATTAAAACACGTAGCATGCAAGAAAAACAGAAAAAATCACCAAAATGCGGGAGGAAGACGGAGCTTTAACAACGTGTCGTCGGATGAACATGACTTCGCAGTTCTCTCTGCTTTCGTTGCTCTTACCTGAGAAACAATTATTTAAAATATATTTTTTAACTGATATAGTTTTAAGCTCGAAACCTTTATGTTTCGTGTGCATTTAAGGCCCAGAAGGTTGTGGCGGGGGAGGGACAAACTCGCTGTTCCAGGGGAGGGGCAAATTGGACATGGTGTCCAATTTGCCAAGTGTCACACCAAAAAGAATGCAAATCAACATCCGTGGACAAAGGTCTTGAAAGTAGAAACAGGCGCGTTTGTACTATGTTGTTGCTGATGGCATGCCCGTTATAGCCAGGCGCAATATGGTACTCATATGCTCGCTTTCCGTGGTTGTTCGTTGGGCGAGAAGGATAAGTAGACTGACATGTACTTCACTCATCATTTTGGCGAGCTTTAAGGAGAGCTGACAAAGCAAAGTCCCCGGCTGTCCGTCCGCCAGTTTGTTATGTTAAGTGAAGATGTCAAAGAAGTCGACGAGCTTTTGCGCATTAACCCGGTCAAACCTTCGAAGAACATTCAACACATGGTCCAAATTACGTCGTCCGAAGATCACCCAGCTGCAAAGTTAAACACTTTCTGGAATTTCTCAACTGTCGTTCTGTAGGCACTCCCAGAAACCGGAGCGCAGTGGCGGACATGGGAGGACATATGCGCGTTAAAAATGCATGGCAGGTAACGCTGGTAAGTAACATGGGGGCTTCAGCTCACACACGCCCCCCCCCCCTCCCCAACTTGGGACCCAGAGCCCAATTTTTTTGGAAGAAAATGGGTCAAATCTGAAGACAACACCGTCTGGTGACGAATTTAGGGGAAAGGCTCCATCGCTTTTCGGTGATTAGCATTCCACTCCGTCCCCTACCCTCTCCACCCTCGCAACATGTTTTGTGAAACTATGCTCACGTATTTAGCAGAACAAGAATACCAAAGACGGTACAAATCATCACCGATGTGCAACACCCAGGACAACACAGGATCCATGGTCACACCATCTTCTATCTTCTTCACTTCTTCACTTCCATTTCACCCATAAATCTCAGCCATCTGAGCATCGGAGTCTTAGCCCAAAACAGTCCGGCGGGGACTCACTGACCTCGCTGATCTGGCGCCTGTTCCGTCTCGTCAGCGTTAATCATCGTGCGATGTTGGATAAGTCACATGCGCGCGTCTCGCAAGATTGCCGTAGATCGCACAGCCTGTTACGTGGTCCTGTGACGTCAGCGTGCCGTGACGTCAGCGATCTGCGTGCCGTCAGGGCAACGGAGCGCACTGTTACACGGGAGCTGTTGATGTCAGGGTGACGGAACACACTGTTACACCGGAGCTGTTGATGTCAGGGCAACGGAGCACACTGTTACACGGGAGCTGTTGATGTCAGGGTAACGGAGCACACTGTTACACGGGAGCTGTTGATGTCAGACGGTGTAGGGCAAGTGAGAACCTTACTGGTTACGTCACACAGCAAAGAACCGAGGCAGGCACCCTGCAAAGTGTGCATAGTGGCGTTTGATGGACTCGACAGCGTATCTTCCCCTCTCACTCGCCGCGTGTGATCACCCAGATAAGTATCGAAGTAGTCTGCACAGTACGTGGCCACGCGCACGCAACGTCCGATCCGTCCTGGGATCTGAGCCTACTGATCCCGTCCATAGCGGGCCAGGCGCAACTGCAGGCTTGCCTTGACCTCTTCACAAGGATCAAGGTGCTTACGGACATAAAAACCTGATGTGTTCCATGTGCCAGACACTCCGAAAATACTCCGAGAAATTCCTGATGCAGTGGTTTCCACGCACCTTTGTAGTGCATCTGAAGTGGTTCTCGCTGCGGCAAGATCAAAGCAGAGTAAGCTGAACACCACTGTTGACTTCTCTGCTAGTGGTGTGGACCTGTCCCCATACTATGCCGTACAGGGGACTTCATGGACAGCCTGTACGGTGTGGCCAACTATTGTGACGCGTCGCTCTTTGGCCATCACATGGCTCACTGTATATATCTCTTTTTGCGGCAGTGCCACGAGTGCAATGACTCCAGGAAGTCCGGCCCA